TTGAACTTATTCTTTCTAAAATTCAAAATCGTCAATGGCTTGTTGATGAGAAAAAAGATGATGGATTTACAGCTTTACATTTATCAGCACTTAATGATCATTGTTTAGTTGCTGAATTACTTTTAACTAAAGGAAATGCATCAATTAATGCACAAAATATTAGTTTACAAACTGCTCTTCATTTAGCTGTTGGTCGACAACATTTACAAATTGTAAATGTAAGAAGAATTTGTTGAAAAATATTTCATTTGAAATAAATATATGTAATATTTTTGTTTATAAATAGTTATTATGTAGTAAAAATGCAAATGTTAATTTAGCTGATAAAGATGGTGATACATGTCTTCATGAAGCTTTAAGACATCATACATTATCACAATTAAAACAATTACAAGATGTTGGAGATAGTGGACGAGTTTACATTTATGTAAAAATTATGTATGGATCGATTAAAAAGAATAGTCGTCGTATGTGATCATTATGTATGCCAAAATTGTGATGAGCGTATGCAAGAATGTCCAATATGTTGAAAATCAATGGAAAATCTGTTGTTTTACAAACATCAGATAAAAAACGAATCAATCTGTCTATATATGTGCCATATTTTCATTGTCTTTGTGTTTACTTTTATTGTACAACGAGAAATGAAAAAAAAAGGGATAAATTGTGTGTTTTAATGTCAAAATGAATGTTGTAACTAATATGTTATTTAATATATTTTAGAATGCTTGAGTAAATTATTTATTGGTTACAATTGATTTATTACTTGTTAATTCGTCGATTAATTGTTGAATATGTTGATCGAAGGATAACGTTGATGCCTAAATTATTAATGAAGAAATTTGATAAATGATAAATATAGATATCAATAAGTCGTATTCTAGACCGTTCTATTTAGAAGACTTCTATATGTTAAAATTCAATAGACAATCTATGAATGATCGAATCAATCATTCTCAAAATTGATTAAACTATCATTTGCTTTTAACGAACTGTTTCTATAGTAGATATAGGATTGACAAAGTAGAGAACCGTTTCTTTTGCTTATCAATCCTCGCAGGTACAAACAAAAATTAGAACTATTGTAATTTTCGATTTATCAAGTAAGTTTTCCTGTAACTAACAACAATAACGTATCTGGTAAATAGAAGTTATGTGTACGGTATTTACTAGTAAACTCTTGTCAAAATGATACATATTAGGAATATATGTGTAGTCCTAATCGAAATTAATCTGTCTAGGAATTCTTGGTGTCATCTACACCCATAGTTTAAATATATTAACTATTTTTTTAAAATTTTATCTTGTTTTTCAAGTTAAAGTTTGAAAAACAGTATAAGATTCATTTTCTATTTTTAATATGAAGTAAATATTATTATCAGATAAATTAAGAAACGATCATCTCTTTCTCGGATGTATTATGCCTCCTATTCGGATAAAATACAATGATTTGTCATGAATAGTAGCTACAAATGACTGTCTCAGGGTATTGCTAAAAGATTAATATTTTTCTTTCGTCTGATTTCTGAACCCATAAAGAATATTAATTGTCTACATCATTTGATGGTATTTGTTGTTGAATAGAAGTTGTAGTTGGTTGATTTAAGTTTCCATTTGATAAATTCCAATCACGAATTTGATTCAAAACGACTTGTTGCACATGATCAGCACTATTTGTTGTTGGAAACTGTAATTGTTGCATTGGTTGTGTTAATGGTGATGGTGGTGAATTTGTATTGATAGGTAGATAATGAATTACTGAAGGTGATGCTTGTCGTTGAAGACTTTGATAATGTGCTTGCGGATGCTGTTGTATTATTGTCTGTTGAAATGGCATCCGTGGTTCTTGTTTTTGATAAATCTGTGATGGTTGCTGTTGATGATAAATCTGTGATGGTTGCTGTTGATGATAAACTTGAGGTGATTGTTGTTGATGATATAATGGCTGTTGTGGCGATTGTTGAAATGATACTTGTGGAGATGTTCGTTGTTGCGAAACAATTATTGGACTTGGCGGTTGATATTGTACTTGTGGCTGTTGTAGAGTTTGTTGTGATGATCCGACTGGTGATGCTGCATTGTAAATACTATATCGACGCATGACTTCTTCAGCAACATTTGGTTGAGAAAGAATATATTTTAATATGGCTTCGTGATTATTTACATATGCAGTTTGTTGTGGTTGCTGTTGTGTTCGATCGGATGGAGATAAAATATTCTGTGGTGATGCAACGCTATTAGTCGAACTGTCATACGCTATAGATGTATAATCATGAACACTCATTTCATCAGAAGTCTAAAGAAAAGTGATTATTAATATTTTAAAATAGAGTAATTAATATTTTCTACCTGTTCATTATCGAATGCATTTGATGGTATTGGAAGTAATGATGCTAATGAATCTGAAGAGAGAAAAAAATAATTGTATATTAAAAGATTTATATTTAACAATATACTTGGACTGAATGGAAAAAAATCAGTAGAACCTGGACTAAAACTATCAAGACCATCTTCATCAGTATTTCCATCATTAGCACTAATTTCAAATAAAGAAAATTATTGTTATATTAATGAATTTAATTTACTTATCGATAAGATCTGTAACTGGTTTATATTTTTCATCATTTTTCAATATTTCTTGTAATCGTGCATCTAATATCATATTCAAAAAAAAAAAAATATATATATTAATTAATATTTCTTAAAGTTTTATTTAACTAACGATAATATTTTGAAAATTCACTAAATGATAAATAGATTTTATCATTTGTTCTATCATCAAAATTCGATAAAATATGTATACGATTAGCATTTTCGGTATGAGCTGATGATACAAATTTGCTAATATCAACAATAAGTGTGCCAGAATCAAATGTACGATTTTGTAATTTTTTTGTACGATCTAAAACATTAAAGTATTATAAGTATGAATTAAATTATCAAGAACAAACCATGATAAATATCAACACGAATAGCACATGCAGGAAGTTTGACTGGTCTGATACCTGTTGTTGATGTTGACACATTAGAATAATCAACTCGAATCGAATTAAACCGAAGTGCAATTATTGGTGAACCAGATATAGATGATTGAACAATAGCTTCAGCTGCTCGTTCACTGCTACATATGCCAAGGAAAAGACTATATAATATGAAAGATAATAAATTCAAATGATTTTATGTTTACAAATGAAATTTACCCATCGGCATGAAACATAGCTAGAATGGGATGTTTAGCCATAAATTCTACTTGATGTACAAAATTGACAAGAAAATCCTAAAGATAAAAATCATAATAACTGTACTATTTTCGATGTTTAATTTTGATTAAATTTCAATTATATATTAATAAAAGAATTACATACCCAATAAATATCTTCTATCAATTGAGAATTACTTCTTTGATCTAAAAATATTAGTCTTGATTTATGAAAATATTTTGAAAAAGTTTTAAAATTACTTGATGCTTTAACTAATTCTTGTTCAAGATAAATATTAACACATTCATTAGGTCTAACACCTGTTCGATGAATAAAATAACGTTGTATATAATTTAGAACAGTTCTAATATCAGCTGGTCGAATCTAAACATTCAAATATAACTAACATTGGACTTTTTTATGCTTTTTTTTTTGTTTAAATACTTTTGAAAATTTTTGAATATCATCAAGTATAACACGTGTTAATAATTGTGGAATTTGATTATTATGAGCTCCAATACTAAACTGTAATGACTCCAAAAGAACATGATACATCGGTGACGCTTTAGTATCAGCTAAATTAAGCTATAATAAATCATATATATATATATATAAGTATTATTTTGAAACTGTTTTCATCATTTCATGTATGTTAATTTACTTGAAGTTTAATTGCAAATTTAAATGAATGTAATAATTGAGCAAATCGAACACGTGTATCAGTTTTTGATGATTGTTCAATAGTAATAGCCGATAATTCAGCATAAAGAAATGTTCGTGTTTTACCACCTGGAGCTGTTTGTAAATGACATATTTTCCAAGAAAGTGAACGAGGTTCTTCAAGTTTATAATAAGGTGATGAAGGAGATAAACTTGGTTCTAAATATATAAATATATAAGATAATTATATGTAAAGAATTTTTTATTTTTTAAATTCAAATACCAATATCAAAAAGTTCTATTAAATTTGGATGTGTTTGCATAAAATCATGTAATAATGAAATGATAGTGACGGAAATTTTCGCAGTATATTCACCAGGACCTTTTCGTTCATATATTGTCACCGGATTTACACCAGAATGAGGTTGAGCCACAATCAAAAATGAACTAGATTATGAAAATCAATATCAGTTTTGTTTTTCTTCGTTTTTATTTATCAAAGATATTATTATTACGTTTGGAATATTGTTTGTAATTCATTAATATAGCTTTGACGAGATTTTGGATCACGAGACATTTGATTAACTATATATGTTAATTGTTCAGTGGTTCTACAGAACAAAAACAAAAAAGAAAAACGAAATTTCATTCATAATAATCAATCTGTTTTTGTCAATCATATTTGGAAAAAAAAACATCAATTATCATTTCATAAAATAGATCGAATTAAATCTCTTGTTCTACACTTAGCATATCTTTGTCTAGAATATTCTTGAAATATAGGTTTTTATCAATGGATGTATGCTTTTCTTCTTGCATGAATGATCAGATTTTGTCATTACTATTTCGCTGGTTTACAATCAATAAACACATAAAGAACTACAAGAGAAAACTTCTTTCGACATTTACTGATGTTTTTAATTTTAAAAGCAGTTAATGTTATGAAAAAAAAAATTTGTTATCCAATGTTAACCAACATTAATAAACTCAAAAGTAATGCCGTGAGAATGCATGGTTAACTATATTTAGATTATGAAATTTTCTTGAAAGCTCAATTATTTCATCATCTAAATGAAAAAAAAAAAATTGCACATTTCTCATTATTTAAAGTGCACTTTAGCTTATCTTTGCTTTAAATTTTCAAAATATAAAATCTAGATGAAAACTAATTGAGTAATGAAATAAACTCTAACATAAATATTTTGATTTTTGATAAATCTAAAATCAAATAAAACATGCCTATTTTGTAAATAAACCAAATTTTGAGGTTGTTTAACTTCATCATGACTATGATAAAAAAGACGTCGTACTTCTTGAGCATATTTTCGATCATTAAATTCTCGTTCACGTTTCCGAAAATCCTAAATATATAAAGATAGATGACATCAATCAATAAAAATACGTATACATAAGAAGTTGGAGCATTTTGATTATCTGCCATTTTAAATTGCATTTCAAGTCTTATGTCGGATATAATTGATGTAAAACGTGCTTCATTCTTTAAATTAAAAATTTTAAAATTTCTTACAAAAAAAAAATACATTTGAATAATTTCTCTACCTCTTTAATATAAGATATTAATCGATTAAGCATTAAACATTTTTCAACAGATGCATCAATTAACGGTAAATTACTCCGTTTATCTTCTAATAGACCAACAAAATTAGTAGTTTGACTTTAATTTAAAGAAAAGAAAATATAGTCTTTTACTAAATTTATTTTTATTTTATTTTACCCTTGTCGATTACGTTTTTCACTATCATCAATGATATCAGAAAAATTTATATCACATACTGATTTTCGTGTTACAAATGCTTGTATACCAATTGTTTTTTCAGAATATTCATTTGATGCCAAAAATTCATAACAATCAAGAAGACTATAAAGTGCATTCTAAATTTATTTTAGATATTTTTTTTGTAAATTCTAAAACAAAAAATAAAGTGAAGACGAAACTAACTTACCGATTGTTGTGTTGATATTGGTACTTCTAAAAAATAATATTTGAAGTAATAAATTTGAAATTCATTAATACTCACGCGATGCTGTTCCACGCTTTCTTTTTGTAATACTTGCGCTCATAATAAAGGAAAGAAAGAAAAATCAAAATATATAAATGTATATATATATATCTAAAAAGAAGTGCAGTGTGGTAGAAAAATTTTAAATAGTTTAGAAAGGCAAGATATTCATTCAACTGAAAAAGGATTATATCTCGGCTAGCGACTAGTGGTTTTCTTTTAAAAGATGTTTATTTAATTTTTTTTTCTTATACAACATCACAATACTAACTGTATTGTTCATTAAATTTGGAATAATAACTGTTCGAGAAAATTATTTTATAATACCAATAATATATAATATGATTAATTTGTTTTATGTTACTCGATTTTCGATTATAATTGATTTGTAATTTGAATAAGTTTCTGTTAACTTCCGATAGATCAGAAGCTGATACATAGAAGATTGTATCAGTTTTAAACGATGGAAAATAGTTGTGGTAGTTCATCATTAATCTGTACTAGTAAAATATGTTTTGGTACTACAGGTTGACCATTTTTATTGACGAGAATAATCTCAGGAAGTATCATAGAACATGTTTCAGAGCGTACAATGATAAGTTTTATAGTTAAAGGCGTAGCAAAGTAATTTACGTCAACATTGACATCAATATGGACGTAATGATGGTTAAAAGAAATTTTGATGTATTTGTTGTTGTGATTGTGTTGGTAGAAACCGTTGTCGCGCTAATGGAAATGATTGTTATGCTTGTGATACTTGATCTCAAAGTAATAATATGAAATTTGTGTGTGTGTGAAAATTGTCTCTAAGTTCATATAGTTGTTAAATCGATTATCATTGTTTATATGATTGTCTTCCATTATTTGTATTGACATTTAACGAAAATGAACCACAAGAATCTTAAATGAATCGAAGTTTTCAGAGAGGAAATACACTATTAGTACATGTTGTTAATAAGAATTTCGTTTTTTTCTCCTGTAGAAGGTAATGAAGCAAGTTTTTAGAATCACTTGAAAAAAATTGTATGTATATAAAAGTAAGTTGAGTTTAGAACTAGTCAAGAAATATGAATAGGATCAGCGTTTTTGGCTTGACTTTTAAGTCTGACAATAAGACAATCGAAACTGTCTCATGGATACCTAATAGTTCTGAATAATGTCTAGAAAAGTTTTCAGATACTTATTATCTAATAGACTTCACTAAAGGAATGACTCCTGTAAATTCTAATTAAAATTATAAATGAAAAAAAAGTTCATTCAAAAATAATATTATTTGGCTTTGGTTTCGATTTTGATTAGATAAATCTGTGTTCTAAAGGACGACATCTGAAAAACAAAGTCTTCTACATCTCTAATTATAATTAGCGAAAAATATGATAATATCGTACCTGAACTACTTATCATGCTCGTGTAGACAATACATCCTGTTTTCTTCTTACATAGAAAATAGATATTATTATTTAATAAATAATTTTAAAATTTCCTTTGTAGTAACATTACATACGAAAATATAGGCTTTTTTACGATAAAATATTCTGAAGCTTGCCATCTGGAAAATGACTCACAATTATAATCAATTATAATGGAAAAATTTTTACATTACAATAATCGTATTAAATACATAGAAATATATTGAGAAAATTCGCTTGATTTTTGTTCATGGTATAGTTATTCAATATAAATATTCCAAACATCGAACGTCATATGATACTTTTTTCACCATTGATAACATCAATGCAAATGATATCTTATATTGGTGTCAAATGTGAAGTAATATATATATATAGGAAGAAAAATTTTATATAATATAAAAATTTCTGTATCATTTGTTATTTATCAGATGCAATATAATTCACTAGCAAAAAGGTTAATCATACAGAAATATTTTTCTTATTTATCATACTATTTATTGAACTAAATTGAAAGGCATAAACAAATTTTCAATTATATTAATTTTTCTCTTTTTTGAATAATTAATTTACTAATTTGAATAGAATAGACTTCAGAGTGAATATTTAACTATAAAAGGAATTTGAAAGTGTAGGTGTCAGCATCAACTGTTCTTCTCTCTCATCATACCTTAACCCACACCCTACATCTACACTCATGTGTACTCACTTAAATAATATTAGGGAAAAATAAATAAATTCTAAATTATTTTCATTTATACTTATATATTTATTGATAAATGCGTTTCGTCTCGTAATTGTTTGAGAAATACTTGATTTTTCGAAGATATCGTTATAATGCGTCATATGTAATGCCGTTTTATTCTCGAGTTAAAATGTACTTTTTATAGTGACACGACATACAGCAAGGTGGTATAAAGCAAATAGATGCAGGAAAAAAAAAAGTAATGTCTTCAATAAAAGTAAACGAGTCTCGTGCTTAGTAGTTCGTAAGAAAGAACGAATAAAAAAAAAATAAAAAACACTGTTTGTCTCATTCTCAAATAAATAGTCAAAAAAAATCTCACCATACGTCGCATTTCCGAGAAAAGTAAAATAAATTGCGATTCGCCGACTCCAGACAAAGTGTATGCCCTCTATATATATAAGTTTTTCTATGAAATCACCGATGTAATTTATTATTTTTCCTGCGTCAACAAAATATTTTAATCTGACGTTACATGTTTGACTTGTTGCTTATATTTGAAAGTTGTAGTTGATTTAGACAAACTCTATTTCTATCGTCCTTAATGCTGAAACAACTTAATGATGAAAGGATTCTTTTATCCGATTAGTGTTAATTAGACTCTATTCAAAATGAATTTTTAAGTCTTTGTCTTTTTATAAAATTTATATTTATGTTTTTTTCCTAATATTTATTACAAATTAATTCTATTTAATACTATTGAATAGTTTTAGCTCGCCAACATCGATTTTTGTGTATATGAGTATTTGTAGAAGAATGTCTCGATTTTTTTAAGATCATATCACGCCAAAAAGCATGTCTTAATTTTTCATAATGATATACAGGTGGTTGTTGAAGTTTTTTTAAAGCTATTTCATATAATTTATTTCGAAGAAATTGTTTATTAATTTCATTCCAATCATGAATAATTATAACAGGTAAATCTGTATATAAAGAATCAATTGTTGAATGCCAAACAATTGGAATAGCATCAAGATAGAGAGCTTCCCATGTTCGATGACAATCAATTCCATTACCACGAGGTGATAACCATAATGGATACTGACGATTTCTTCTATAAATAGTTTGTAAAATTGAAGGATCTACTCCTGAAGACTTATCAAAACACGTAGCAAATGAATATTTATTTTTATTTCCGCAAATATTTTTCCATAATTTTCGACGTAAGCCATCTGGATCTGTGTCAGGATGAAAATTGAGAAGAAGTAATTTATCCGATTGATTATGACTATTCAATACACTTTGTGTAATATCGAATGGTTGTACATAATAAAGTGGTTCATCCATACTTTTATTGAATACTGATGGAAGAGTATAATTACGATATTGTTGATGAATACCTCGAATACTTTCTGCCATTTCAAAACAATTGATACCTGTAGAACAGATTCAATCAGACACAAAGAAACTTTCAGAAAACGAATATGTTAATTATAGTTTTTCATATATTCGTAAAGAGAATGCTAATTAATTATCATTCTTATTACAGTATTATTTTCGTAAAACTACATGTCAAAGGCATAAGTAATAAAAGATCATCAAATAGATACTTATTTTATTTCTAAAATTCAGAACTATTTCATATCTAAGGGATCTGATGATCACTATATCTAATAATTACTAAAGTACAAATTCTAATAGCTTTATTTGATAAAAGAAAGCTGTTAATCGTCGTATACGGCAAAAGAGTAAAATATGAAACAGTTTAACTTTTGATAAGTTTAGTAAAAAAAAAAACGAAAAGGAAACAAAATTCATTCATTCTGTGTTTCTAGGAAAATATTTAGCTTTTCTTTTTGAAAAAACATACATAATAAAATAAATTCTATATTGTATTCTTACCAATAGGTATATGAGTAAAGCGCTCACTTCTCCATGAATGGATATCTCCATTTTGACCGAACCAGTGAATAATTTTTGAATCGAATCTTTCAAGATAATAAAGATTTTGACCTGGTACTGAATAATCACTTTGACCGGTAATCAATACAAATTTATTCTGTAAATATGGATAAATTCTCTGAAAAAAGGTGGAAATACCGTTGGGTTGAATATAGATTATACTACCGTGTGGAAGATTAGGTGCAATCACATAACTATCATTAGCGTTACTTTCAATATGTTCATTGAATGTATTTTTAGGCCAACTATAAACCCAATCAGCCAAATTTCGAAAATTTTGTGGACAGATAAATTCAGGATAGTGATGAATAAAATGTGATGTATTATCAAAAACTATACGATTATCAGTGATTGTGGACGAATATCGACATAATGAAAAATAGAATTGGCTAATTTCAATACGCAACATATGATTAGTAAAATTTCGCGAAAAAATAATAATCATAAGAATAGAAACACATACCATGAATATAATAGTTACGCGTACAGGAAGACGTGTGAACATCATTTCTAGAAAAAAAATAAAAGAATTTATGTTCGAAATAATTAACTAATTTATTAGTGACTACTAAAAAGGGTACATTTGTTTGTTTCATTCTTATTTTATTTAGGTCTTTTTTATTCAATAATATTCTTTTGATTAGCAAGTTAACTAGTAGACTAAGATTAAAATTGTTTTTTTTTGAGTTGAGTAGTTAAATAATGAATTAATGAATATATGAGTCATGGTACCCAAAAACAGAATGAGACTTTATGAATTGTAAAAAAAAAAATTTTAATTACAAAATATTTCTGACAATTTCAACTACCATACCATTTTTGTTTATCTTTGAAAAACAAAACAAGAGTTTTTACAACTATGTAATTAAATGAACAATTTCTATAAAGGATAGAAGAAATGTCACAGAATGTCTTCGTCATTAGAAAAAGAGTTATAATAATTGTAACAATTTCTTTTATAATTTATTTAAGTATCTCCTTACGTTTTTAGTCAGTCCTTTTTATTATACTAATATAATAAAAAAGTCGGTCGATAGAATATACGTTTTATGTCAATAGTGTTATATTCTTAATAATTTTCTTTCTTATAAAAATTTTCATTTTAAATTTAGTAAATTATAAATGGCACGTTTAAAAACCTTTGATTGAAGCAATTAGTATGGTTTACCTTTGACAGTCTGTCAATGCAGTAGCTACTAACATGAGACAAACATGCATACTCTTTGCATCTATAGTAAAACTCCTCAAATGTGAGCACCATCGATACTGATCAAAAGTGTTCAGTTTACGAAGGTGCTTGTATTGTTAGGAAGTTTTTAATTTCTTTTACAATAAATATTCACTTGCAATCATTTTTCAATTACCTTAGGTAATCTTTTTCTTCTTTTCAATAAATTATTAATTCAATTTTTTCCTAGCCGAAGATAAATCAATATATGTTGACATGATTTGATGTCATTAGTTGTTAACAAAAAATGAAGAAATGTTTTACCACACATAGTTAATCCATTTTCATCTTACAAATGTTGTTTGATTGTTTATCATAATATAATTTTGTGGAACTCACGTATGTTTTCAAAGAAAATAGTGAGTTTAAGTTTTAAGCTTGAGGTTTAGCGACTCTCCCACCTCCCACCCTCCCTCTGCATTACAGATCATGCAGCTTCACCAAAAAAAAGAAAAACTTTCTGTTCGAAGTATAGAAATAAAAAAAACAGCATTTGCTGAAGATCGATTATCATTAGAAAAGAACTATAGTCTTTTAGGAAATTTAAACATTGTATATTCTGTCATTACCATAATGAAACTAAACAAGATATGTGAGTTCGACATTTCAGCCCCAAAGAGGCTGCAATAACAAGCTTTTTTTCTCTCATTCTGCATGTTAGTGATAGACCGTGTGTTGCTCAAATTATAAAGATTGTTGTTACTCATGGAGCTGGAAATAACCGCTCACTGCTTAGAATAAGGAATTTCTCATAATATAGAAGCTCATTTCCTGCAAAATTCGTTCGAGCATACTCTGTACCGCACAGTATAAGAAGATGTTCATATAGAGAGGTTTTACTGTGTAATGATAGAAAGAAAAAATTACTATTAAAAAAGAAAATAGAAATATACAATGAGGTATGCTCATTAATATTGGTAGCTAAAAGGACTTATGTGTTCTTTATTTGACCCCTAGAAATTTGTTGAAAAATTTTTATGAAAATTTGCATAGATTGTGGATACCATAGTAAACGTCTGTAAGTACTCAGGTAAATAGATTAGTGAGAAGAAAGATGATTAAACAACTTAGGTCTAAACTATGAAACATGCCTAATATATTATTTAGAAAAAGGTTATTTATAATTGTATTTTGCACAGAGTGTCAGGGTCTAAACAAATGCAATGTAAATGAGATTAGCATTTTAGGCAAAGATATTCATAATGTAAAAATTATAAGTTCTAATCTATTTTCGGCTAGGCTTACTTTGCCATCAACATTATGAAGTATTTATGTAACACTAAATCATTCTACAATCAGATGAACTGAATAGTACACGAGCCGAATTCTTACAGAAAATACGACACGAGGATGATTTCAAATGCCGATTATCAAGCAAGAGAACATTAATAGAAAACGAGTAAAGATTCTGCAATTGATTAGACAACTTGATTCTTCAGAAAGCATTTCTAGACATCTAGAATCTGTGTGCTGATCTTCTGAATATAGCCAAAAACGTCACATTTTCATCAGTTAATAGAAATCAAGACAAAATTGAAAAGTATACAATTTGATATTCGGTACTAACAGAATTCAATCACCGCACAATACACACAACACGAAAATGTGTCGTATGCGTGGCAGAATGTAACATCATGCACGACACATTCGATTATGACAAGAACATGAAAACACTTTCTATTCAACATAGGTACACCATTTTGGATTTGTCGTTGAAATCTACTATCATTCTTTTTTAAAAATTTTTCATAATAATACCAATTATGATTCCTTTCGAATTCAATCGAATTCGATAATATTCTTATCTTATTTTTCAAGCACGAAATGAAAAGATCTTAGGATCCAACATCCTTGATTCGATCCAGTTACAGTCGAATCATTGTTAGGCAACCTCATAATAACTGTCGAACTGGTACTGTATTCTTGTACGTAAATGAATCTGAAAGTAAATTTGAAAAAACATTTGACAATGGACTCGGGTTAATACAAGACGTTTGTCGCCTATATACTATTAATACTGACATGAGTCACTTCTCTTTGATATATATACTCAAGGATACAACTTTTTTTTATAATGAGTCATGTTCAAGAAAATGGCTGAGATTAGTGAAAACCGCTTTCTAAACAACAATACATGATACTAAAACGATGTATTATAATATCAATAATAATATTGTTTTCTCACTGTTATTGTCACTTCTCTTCTGTCATTAGCTCCTTTCTATTCTCTCTCTCTAGTTCTTCTGCTTATGTCTTAACTGCATACATTTGTGTTGTGTCTAAAACAAACACATTCTTGCATACAATTGTATATTTCGTTTCAATTTGAATTTCAAAAAAAAATGGGCACTCAGTTTCAAATAGAAAAGGGACCTTGTCGGTCTGTTGAATTATATCACCATCCATACCTTACATACTATGTATTTGTTTGAGATGCGAGTTTTGAAGGTCTGTAGAATTTATATAGTAGTATATTCGTTATATATCCTGCACTGCATTATTATTAAATACAAGTCTGTAGGATGTGAGTATGATAGTGTTTGAGCGAAAAGAACACACACAATCACAATGACACTGATACATATAAATGCTGTAGATTTGCAGGACTCGTATCCTATAAAAAAATCAGGTAAAGAGCGTATATAATATTATGTGCATACTTGAGTGACAGAACAAACTATGAGGATAAGGTTGAGTGTGAGAGAGTGAAATTACAATGGTGATTATGAAAATTTTTCGCTACTTCGTTGGTTTACGTGTTAGACTTTTCCCCTTTTGACGTTTTAAGAAACAGTTTGCGCTTTTTAGAGTCATTCAGCCCTTGCCGTTTGGACAAAAGAGGTATGATTTTTTTTTAACCCAGTTTTTTATGTAAAAGACCATACGTCCTTCAAATTAGGTGGATATAGAAATCTCATTTAACCAAAATTCATTGACAGAAACACTTCAGAAGACTCTTCATGAAGTGTAATAGATCATACCGTTTTTATACTTACTTACTTTCTTCCACTTTAGCTTTTCGTAGGAAACTCTTAGTAATAAAGAAAACATAACCTACAGGAATAATTCAAGCTGAAAAAAACAATCGAAAAATATCATTGGACTGAATAGTGAAAAGTATATTTGAAAGCAGTTTGTTAGATTGCCGTATACTTATTCACATTCCACATATATTAGAATAGGAACCATGTGTTAAATATAATGTAATAGAAGATCATACTATAATATTCCCACGATGATAAAGAGAAATGAAAAGAAAACATTACGATTTATATGCATGCTGTTGAGTACTATGAAGACACTGCTCGTTACCGTTTATTATCATACGAACGTTGAAAGTGGCATTCATTTTCATCGATTACAAAAGTATATTTGATTTTTTTCGTTCTTCTTCATTAAAAAAAATACGTTTTTTCATCATACGCATCGGATAGAATCATGAACACACGAACCTTACATATCACAATAATCAAATAATTATCATTTTTACACCATTGAATCAAATTATAGAATTATGTAGACAACGACAGCTTGCAACATTTAAACAATGCATTGAAATTGAGAATAACTGAATATGGACAAAAATAGCTCTACAAAGAAGCAATTTTTCATAGAGTAATGAAAGAATCAAAGTGTCAATAATGAATCGATTTTGTATCAGAACATCAAAGACAAATTATTTTGTACTGTAATTAATCAATATATTTAGGAACTAGTATTAGTCAACATGGTAGTCTGTCACTGAGTTATTGCGTAGGTGAATCGCCCAGTTAAATAAAACGGTAAAGAATGCGTTTCAAACCCTGAAAAAAAACCCTTTTTTTTTCTCAAAAAAAGATAATTTACACCTTTTCGGAACACTTTTGTAATCGTTTCTATTTAAAATAATGAATAGTGAATTTTCCTTTGCTACGAAAGTGTTCCTAGCCATTTCCGTAAAAAGAATGACGAAAGACTGGTTTCAAATTTTTTGAACTCTTTTTTTTTTCTGTTCTTCTTCTGTAAATCATTCGTAAGCTATTCGTTCTTTCTCACAACAGGTTCTTCTTTTTCGATTCAACTGTGTTGAAAAGGCTGATCTGTTATCCACTAGACTAAGTTGCATATTTTATTTTCAACCAGCAATACTAATTATATCAATTAAATAAAATAATAGACTAGACAAAATTTTATCGAGAGTA